GCCACAGTCCACTCCTCTGCCTACCGGTCACTCGCTCTCAGCTCCACCTTCGGACGAGTCCGTAGAGCCGAGTGGCCCGTATCCAGAGCTTGTGGGCTGCCTCATGTACCTGATGACTTGCACACGACCTGACCTCGCATACCCTCTCAGCCTTCTGGCTCGCTACGTGGCTCCCGGTAGGCACCGAAAGGTGCACTGGGATGCTGCGAAGAGGGTGTTGCGCTACTTGTGCAGTACTTCAGGCATGGGGCTCGTGTTTGGAGGACGGACTCGAGTTGTCCTCACTGGTCACGCAAACGCTTCTTGGGTTGCCGACTTGGCTATGCAGCGGTCGTCACAGGGTTACACCTTCAGTCTTGGCTCCGGTTCTGTCTCTTGGCGGTCTACCCGCTCTTCTTCTGTTCTCAGCTCCAGTTGTGAGGCTAAGATCTACGCTGGGGCCATGGCTGCACAGGAGTTACGCTGGCTCACCTACTTGCTGACCGACTTGGGAGAGGCGCCTCGTTCTCCTCCAGTTCTGTACGTCGTCAACAAGGCCATGCTTGCCTTGTGTCAGGAGCACAGACTGGAGCACAGAACGAAGCACATTGCTCTGCGCTACTTCCTTGCTCGAGAGTTGCAGCAGCGTGGTCAGCTTCGTCTTGCTTACGTGGCCTCTCAGGCCAACACTGCTGATGTTTTCACCAAGGCACTTCAGCCTTGTGATCATCAGCGTTTCTGTACTATTCTAGGCCTTGTACCTACTGTGCCTCACTTGCTTACTTCTTGACTCTGCTTGTACTGTACTCTCTATACATATACCTGCATGCTTACACTTGCTAGCTTGTGTTCACTGTATTGTTTGTTCTCCTTTATATAACTCTGCATGTGAACTGGCCTTGTGGCCATTTGCTTGTGCTCAGACTGCGTGGTGACTTCGTGATCCACCCTGAGCTTGCTTTGCCTTTCTTGACTGGTCTTGTGACCTCTTGTTCTCCCCCACTTTGCCTATGGGGGTGTGTCAAACTTATATGCTATAGTCTATCTAGGCTGTAGTGGGGTAGTTCATATAGGGTACAACACTTTTAGGTTTCCTACTTGTACCCACCCGCTTGCTAGTTCATTCATTCGTTCCATATTCTAACACGTGCCGGCGGTCATCCCGGCGGGATGCACGGCAGACGTGCAGCCGCTCGATGTGTCGGTGAACAAGAGCTTCAAAGCAAGTGTTCGCCAGCAGTACCAGTCCTGGTTTGAGGCGGACGGCATGAACATTCTGACACCTGCAGGTGAGCGAGGACATGTCCTCCCGTCTCCCCTTCGTGTGCTTGTCTGCCTGCTTGTGGACTAATGTGTTCCCCACTCCCTTTCATGTGGTGCAGGGAACATCAAGAAACCACCCCTGGCGGTGGTGCTCAAGTGGATTTCACGGGCGTGGAAGGCCGTGCCCGCCGACCTGATTAAGAAAGCCTTCCTCACGTGCGGCATCAGCAAGTCCCTTGACGGGAGCGAAGACCACATGGTGATGGCGCACCGGAGAAGCCAGCTGAGCCACGAGGTAGAGGTTGACGACAACATCGAAGCAGACGGATTCCGAGGCAACAACGCCACGGAGCCTGAATCGGACGTGGAGGAAGTGGAGGCCTAAGGCTAGACTAGGCCAGATAGTGTTTAGGCTAGGACAATAGTCACCCTATTGTATGTGAAACTTTTAGCTAGGGCAAAATTACAACTAATGAAGGCTAGCCTCGCTTTAGCTGTAACAATAATGACAAATATTCATCAAGTATATATTTTTTTTACTGCAAGGGTGCGCGTATAATAAGTAACGATTTTATAAGGGGTGCGCTTCTAATTGAGGATCGGCCATAAGCGCATTGCTCCATATATAAGCGCATGCGCTTATAATAGGCCTGCGGTTATATCCGGGGCGATTCGGTAAGTTCTACGCTCGCTTGTGGAAGTGTCACTTCTATAAACGCGAGTTAGAATATCTGGGACATCTCGTGGGGAACAGTGGATTGAAAGTCGATCCCAAGAAAGTGGCGGCTGTTGAGAACTGGCCCGTTCCACAGGACGTGGGTCAAGTTAGGTCCTTTTTAGGCTTGGCCAATTATTTTCGCCGTTTCTTGGAAAATTATTCAACCATCGTTGCCCCATTGACCTCACTTACTCGAAAAGGTACTGTGTGGGAATGGACCAGACAATGCCAAGAGGCATTTGAAGCGGTCAAACAAAAGTTGACCAATGCTCCCGTTCTGGTATTACCAGATCCAACAAAACCCTACGAGGTAGTCACTGACGCCTCAACGGTAGGGATTGGTGCAGTCCTCCTACAAGAAGGACGTCCTGTGGCAAACGAGAGTAGAAAGCTCTCCTCGGCAGAGCAGCGCTATACGACTTCTGAACAAGAACTGTTGGCAGTCGTCCATGCGCTACGAACATGGCGATGTTACTTGGAAGGTGTGGACTTTGTTGTCACAACTTACCATTGTCCAAACACCTACTTTTCCAGCCAAGCCACCCTCACTCGTCGTCAAGCCCGATGGGCTGAGCTCCTTAGCGGGTTCACCTATGATATTTGATATCGGGCAGGTTCGACGAACATGGCTGACCCCCTCAGCAGACAGCCGATAGGGACAGCAAACGGGCTTGAGGACAACGAACATGCTGCCGTCTTTGCAGCTTACTTTGGAAATCCTCGCTGTTGCTCGAGTGAGTGAGATTACCTTCAGTGGTTTTCTGAAACGAATCCGCACAGGCTATCAGATTGATTCCTGGTTTCAGAACCTACAGAATACGAAGGATCTCTCGTGGGAGCATGGGCTCTGGTGGCATGGAAAAGAAATTGTAGTACCACATGTAGGGAACATGCGGAATGACATCCTACAAGAAGTGCATGCCAGTAAATACAGTGAACACCTCGGAGTTAAGAAAACCCGATGGGCATTGTCGGAGTTACTGGTGGCCAGGGTTGGGCAATGAGGTCCAGCAGTTTGTTACACGCTGCGACACGTGTGCGCGTAACAAATCGAGCATACAAAAACCCGGTGGTTTGCTTAAACCACTCGAAATCCCTGACGAACCTTGGGAGAGTGCATCAATGGATTTCATCACTGATCTCCCTAAAACACGAGATGTTCATACAGCGATCCTCGTCTTCGTGGATCGTTTGACCAAGATGGTGCACTTTGTGCCTACAACCACAGGCGTATCAGCAGAAGATACGGCTAAGTTGTTTATTGCACATGTTTTCCGTTTACATGGTTTGCCTCGTATGCTAGTGTCTGACCGAGACCCTCATTTTACAAGCCGTTTCTGGCAGGAGGTCATTCGGACACTAGGGACGAAGCTGAAAATGTTGTCTGCATTCCACCCTCAAACGGATGGGCAGACCGAACGCACAAATCACACTCTTGAACAAATGCTTCGTTTGTTTATTGGCCCAATACAAGATGATTGGGATGAGCTATTGCCAGTCGTGGAATTTGCTGTCAACAACTCAGTGCATGAAAGCACCCACGAAAAACCCTTCATCTTAAATTGTGGTTGGCACCCCACAACACCTGCTACGCATGGGGTCAGTGGCTTGAAAATTCCAGCCGCTAAGGACTTTATTGGCAAGCAGCAAGAAGCGCTTAAGTCTGCTCGTCGTTGGTTGCAACTTGCCCAACAACGCCAAAAGTCTTACGCCGACATGAACCGCCGGGACGTCTCTTTTCAAGGGGGAGACAAAGTTTTGTTGAGTACGAAAAACATTCGACTCAAATTACCTGGGGCGCGAAAGTTGTTTCCTCGTTGGATTGGGCCATTCGAGGTCATCAAGCGGGTTGGGGCGGTGGCTTATAAGCTTAAGCTACCAGACACCTTGCAGATTCACAATGTCTTCCATGTGTCTCTGTTAAACAAGTATGTAGCCGACGGCACATACTTACCACCACCAACCATCGTCTTGGGTGAGAAACTATATTATGAAGTCGAGCGTGTGCTCATGCACCGTGATCGACAACACGGCCGTAAAACAAAACATGAGTTCCTCATTAAGTGGAAAGGCTACGAGCCCGAACACAATTCTTGGGAGCCAGAGGAACACTTGACTGAAATAGCAGTTCAAGCTTACATGGAAGAGTTGGCTCTCCGAGCAGCCCCACAGCCAGTGGATGGTGTTGATCCTGTCCGTAATGTGGTGCGTCGTGCTCGCAGCACTCGCCCCAAGAAGCACTCCAAGGCAACAGGGACGTTGCCAACTGGAGGGGGAGGAGTGTAACGCATCGCCTTCCTACCCTAACAAGCCTAGCTATGACTCTCTAAAGCGCTACCTACGTAAAGTAGCGACTTACGGGAAGAGAAGGTTGGAGGAGGTGAATGGTGATTGGTCCACAATTGTGGACCACCATCCACTAAAAGACAAGCGTGGTTGGGAACCAACCCAACCTCCACATTGGTTGGAATTCCAACCAATAGCTAGTGAACATTTATGTTATAAGTTACAACATGTAACAAAACAATCCTTATCACAATTGTGTTGCTCTCATTGGTTGCAAATCCAACCATTGTGCCACCTAAGCAAACTCACCCCTAGGAGCTCCTTGCCCTTGTTGCCATGGAGGAAGTGGAGCTCCCCAAGGAGGTCTAGGAGGGGTGTGAGCCAACCAAGCTCATTCTCAACTCCCACTTCCAATTAACCAAAGATGGAAATGGGATTTTCTCTCGAAGTACAAGATTTCTCCCTCACAAGTGCCCTAGCCTTCAACTTCTCTCTTGGTGAAGCTACTCCATCACTCTTAGAGCTTCAACTGCCAAGCCTTCAAGGCCCAAGGCTAGCTTAGGGACTAGTTTATCTTGTATGTGCTTGTTGTTGGCGTTTTATAAGCCTTCTATAGACCCTTTTGTGGGTATTTGCTATAAGCCCGGGTCTTTATTGTGATTTTAAGGGCGTTTCCTCTATAAGCCCGTGTTACACTCCGCGATCGTCTCCCGCAGTCACCGTGGCGTTCGCCATCGCCGCCGCGGCTCTGCTGATGGAGTGCTCGGCACCGCTTCCGGCGGCGGTGCAGGCGGACGGCGAGTGCTGGCCCGGGAACGTGCCGTGCCTGGGTGGGATGGGGTGCATGCGAGCGGACAAGCAGTGCGACGGCGTGTTCGACTGCGACGACGGCAGCGACGACGGCTACGACTTCTGCCTCTCCTACGACTGCAGCAACGTCGGCAAGGTGAGGGTGAGGCGGGGGCAAGGTGAGGGGGAGGCGGGGGCAAGGTGAGGGCCCCTTGCTCTTCCCGAGGTCTATGAGTGCCGCCTAGTGGGCGGGTTCTTCGACCTGAACTACGACCCCAGCTTCTTCCTCCGCCACACCTCCAAGCCATCCCCCTCCCTCACCCTCCATGTCTCACCACCTACATGCAGATGTGGTACCACGAGGGCTATCAGTGCCGCGCGCTCAACTCATTCTGCGACCTCAACTACGACTGCACGGACGGCAGCGACGAGGAGCCCGAGCGGTGCTACCACATCTACAGAAGCAAGGACCTGTGCAAGCCCAAGGGGCTGGTGAGTGATCATTGCCGCAAGGGCCTGTGCCGTGTGATCCCTGGAGCTGGAGAGTAGATCTACTCCTGAGTGAATTGACTCCTGAGTAGATCGACTCCGAAGTGGATCTGCTCCTGATGCCTGAGCGCCGGGCGATCCCTGTTGCTGAGCTTTGACAGCCAGGGACTGCACCTGGACAGCACCCCCCATTGCCTCATGCGTTGGTTCCAATTGTCTCCTCCTTCCTCCCTCCCTCCTGCCCCCCCCGACCTTCTCGCTGCTCTGTCCTCCCTCCTGCCCCGCAACCTCCCTGCAGGTGGCGATGCCCCAGCGACCCCGGGACTCCTCCATCCGCCCTTTCTTGGTGTGCGACAGCTTCTCGCCGTGCCTTGTGATTCCATTGCAAGCCAAAGTTACCCCCTCCCATCACCTCCGCTCCTCACCTCCCTCCCGCAACCTCCCTGCAGGTGCAATGCCCCAACGACCCCGGGTACTGCATCGGCCCTCAAGACGTATGCGACAACATCCCGCAGTGCTCCTCCTTACACCTCCTCTCCTCCCATCCTCATCCCCTGCAGGTGCAATGCCCCAACGACCCCGGGTACTGCATCGGCCTTCAGGAGGTGTGCGACAGCATTCCCCAGTGCTCCGATGGGTGGGATGAGCTCAACTGCTTCAACCACACATGCCAGCCCGGCCAGATCCACTGCCCTCTCACCGGCTACTGTGCAAAGGGCCGCCTGTGCGATGGAACGCAGGATTTCTGGGGAGGGATTGGGCATTGAGGACGAGAATCCGGAGTTTTGTGAGGGGTATGTGTGTCCGGAGGGGTGATGGAAGTGTGCGGATGGTTTGCAATGTGTGGAAGCTAGTAGGTGGTGCGATGGTGCTGTAAACTGCTTGGATGGGAGCGATGAAGGGGCGGTTTGTGTTGTGGCTACTCCTCTTCCTCCGCCTCCGCCTGCTGCTGGGAACGGCTCAGATGGTGCTTCAGGTGGTGGTTCAGGTGCTTCCAACAGCAGCAGCGCCTCGGTGGTTCTGAGCAAGGAGGAGATTGCGAAGCTGAAGAAGCTGGCTCAGGAGAAAAAGGCGGCAGCCGTGGCTGCCAAGAAGCAGAAGATGGAAGCCAAGCGGGCGGCAGAAGAGGAGAAGACGAAGCAGCGGGCGGCAAAGAACGCTGCGATTGAGGCGAAGATCCGAGTGAAGGAGGAGAAAGAAGGCTGCTGCAATCGAGGCTGAGAAGAAAAAGGAAGCTAGGAAGAAGGCGGCTATGGAGGCTAAGAAGAAGCAGCAGGCAGAGAAGGAGGCGGCGATTGCTGAGAAGAAGAGGAAGCGGGCTGAGAAGGCTGCTGCTATTGAGGCGAAGAAGAAGCAGGCTGAAAAGGCGGCTGCGGTTGCAGCCAAGAACAAGGCAACCACCAAGTAACCACTCAAGGTACTGAAAAGGCGGCTGCGGTTACACCATGTGTGTTGTAAATTAGTGGGCTGGTCTTGTTTATTATTGCTTCTTGCATTACTTGCATTTTTACAAGTTGCTTGTTCGTGTACGTGAATAAAAGCAGATGGCTTTTCATATCAAGTGTATAGTAAAGATGCTAGTGGGGGTTAACATGTATATTGGCAAACGCCCGTTTATTGTTTCCAATACTCTCTCTCACCCTGTATGTGCCCTGTTATGACGAAGCACACAGGTACCGGGTATAAGCAATATGCAGATTCTCTTATAGTGCTTTTTATTGTACCTTGGAACCAGGCATCAAGCAAAGATTCGATGTAAGAGTATTTTTTAGGCAAATTAGGAAATATTTCACAGGATGAACTCTATGTGTGTAATAATCGACCCACCCTTTACCATTTGATGTGTTTGTATGTGTCGTGATCATTTTCATTATCCGCAACACCAGCATGCCTACCCTAATCAAACTATGGTAGTATCGCAGATAATCAGCTGGAGGTGAAACGCCATGCAGAAACAACAGCGACGCGGAATTCCCCCCCCCCCCCACAAATGAATGAGCAGAAGCGCGCAGAAACGCCTTCCCCGTTCTCCTGAAGTGGGCATGAATAGTTCTGTATCAACACCCAGGTAGACAGAAATTTGTATTGCAATTTAAGCCGCGGTAACGCACATGACCGATTAGAAGGGAACTGCGCCGCGCGGAAGCAGGAAAAACTACCAACAAATTCTCTTTTGCGCCGACATCATCCATCCATGACATCCCATTCCAACCGAGGCGCTAACTACGGCTAAGTTTGGCACCTAAAGACTGATCGGAAGGCGCGGTCCCAGCCTTCCCCGTGCGCCACGCCGCAACGTGCGCCTTGATTGACCTACCCCATCGACTTCTTTTTACGGCGAATAGCTCCCATTAGCGCCACCCACCTGATTCGGTATGCCTCACATGTCCATAGTAGAATCTACTGCTAATAAGCGAACCAGCTGGCTGTAGTGAAGCAGTGGTCGTTTTCGGCTTCCTAGACTTGATTTACGACCTTACTATTCGGCTGAACACCCCCTCATATTAGCTCGAAATGCGTCGTCGAGCGGTTCAGCCACGGGCAACGCGCTTCTTTCTTCATCATTCTTGATTCCGAACATTCGCACTACAGTAAACCCTAATTAAGCGCAGTACTACAGCGTTGAGGCGTCATGGCCGCCGCGCGAACCGCAAGACGAACTGCGCCGACGAGGTGCCGCATCGCCAATACCCCAACAGTCCCCTTACTCCTCCTCCTCTCCCTCGTCGTTTCACAGGCGGGTGGCGTCCCGTCAACCGCGGCATCACCAAGCACCAACCGCGGTCCCGGTCTCACGACTCACACAGAAACTGTTTCCGCGACGGCGCACACACAATCGTCTGCACGTTCTAAGAGTAGGCTCGTTATACGGCTGGTCAGTCACAGAACACCACGCAGAGATATCGGCGGAGTTATTATAGGCGGATTTTCAGGGCGGCATGATGATGGACGTGAATCAGCTATGGAGGTCGTAAAAAGTTATATTTTTGTGAATAGTACTTCAGTACAAACGATTGCACGTCCGAGTCGAGGTCGCGAGTTGCTGCAGTGCACGGGGGGGAGAACTATGTGTCCGGGCGGGGCGGGGTGCGTGGATCGCGCGTTTCTCTGCGACGGAATCGCCGACTGCGGCGACCAGAGCGACGAGGATGCGACGTTCTGCGACGCGTTCGACTGCAGCAGCGTGGGGAAGGTGAGAGGCGTACGGCTGAGGGCGTTGTTTGGGGCCTCCAGGGCGTTGCAGTGCGGTGGAGTGCGGTGCAGAATGGGGTCGGTGCGGCGTGGGTGACATTGACATTCCGGTCCCTTCCTCCCCGTCCTCCTCATCACCCCCTGTTCTCATTGGGCCTCCATGTTCTCTGCTTCATTGCGCCAACCGTGTCCCAGGGGCTACAAAAATCCTCTCTGTATCAAATCCGCGTCATAACAATCGAGTTTTGATTTGACAAGTCCCAAAACTCGTCCTCCTCATCTTCTCCCCCTGTCCCCATTCCGCTCATCTCCGTTCTCTGCTCTGTTGCGCCAACGGTTTCCCTGAGGCGGGCAGTGCATGAGGGGGAGGGGGGGGAGGGGGGGGACGGAGGAGGGGGAAACTAACTTCGACCTCGACAGGGACTGTGGCTATGCAAGTGGGGTGAGCCAGTGGAGTGAGCACGTGAGTGGACATGAGAGTCAGTGCACTGTCGCCCGTTCTCCCCACATGTCACTACTCCAAGCAGGATAGTTGCCCGGGAGGCGGGCAGTGCATGAGGCAGAGAGGGTACTGCGTGTTCAACAGGCACAGCGGCGATGGGAGCGCGAGTGAGAGCATGCGTGTGAAATACGGCTCCCTTATTCTGTGTCCTATTGCGCCCACAGGATAGGTGTCCAGGAGGCGGGCAGTGCATGAGACAAGGGGGCTACTGTGACTTCAACAGCGACTGTTGTGATGGGAGCGATGAGGGCGAGGAGCAGTGCAGCGAGCTTTACAAGCAGGGGTACTGCCAGCGGCAAGGGATGGTGAGTGTGGGAAGAGTGCGCAACACATGCCGTGGTTATTGTTGCAGTTGCAGTGTGGTGTGGTGGGGAATGCTGGGGAGAGGAGTGCAGCGATCTGTACAAGGAGGGGCACTGTCAGCGGCAAGGGATGGTGAGTGTTGCACTGTGTGCATCGCACGTGTGAGCTGGTGTTCATAGATGCGAGGGTGGCATGGTGAGGAGTGATGAGGGCAAGGAGGAGTGATGAGGGCAAGGAGGAGTGATGAGGGCAAGGAGGAGTGATGAGGGCAAGGAGGAGTGATGAGGGCAAGGAGGAGTGATGAGGGCAAGGAGGAGTGATGAAGGCAAGGAGGAGTGATGAGGGCAAGGAGGAGTGATGAGGGCAAGGAGGAGTGATGAGGGCAAGGAGGAGTGATGAGGGCAAGGAGGAGTGATGAGGGCAAGGAGGAGTGATGAGGGCAAGGAGGAGTGATGAGGGCAAGGAGGAGTGATGAGGGCAAGGAGGAGTGATGAGGGCAAGGAGGAGTGATGAGGGCAAGGAGGAGTGATGAAGGCAAGGAGGAGTGATGAGGGCAAGGAGGAGTGATGAGGGCAAGGAGGAGTGATGAGGGCAAGGAGGAGTGATGAGGGCAAGGAGGAGTGATGAAGGCAAGGAGGAGTGATGAGGGCAAGGAGGAGTGATGAGGGCAAGGAGGAGTGATGAGGGCAAGGAGGAGTGATGAGGGCAAGGAGGAGTGATGAGGGCAAGGAGGAGTGATGAGGGCAAGGAGGAGTGATGAGGGCAAGGAGGAGTGATGAGGGCAAGGAGGAGTGATGAGGGCAAGGAGGAGTGATGAGGGCAAGGAGGAGTGATGAGGGCAAGGAGGAGTGATGAGGGCAAGGAGGAGTGATGAGGGCAAGGAGGAGTGATGAGGGCAAGGAGGAGTGATGAGGGCAAGGAGGAGTGATGAGGGCAAGGAGGAGTGATGAGGGCAAGGAGGAGTGATGAAGGCAAGGAGGAGTGATGAGGGCAAGGAGGAGTGATGAGGGCAAGGAGGATTGATGAGGGCAAGGAGGAGTGATGAGGGCAAGGAGGAGTGATGAGGGCAAGGAGGAGTGATGAGGGCAAGGAGGAGTGATGAGGGCAAGGAGGAGTGATGAGGGCAAGGAGGAGTGATGAGGGCAAGGAGGAGTGATGAGGGCAAGGAGGAGTGATGAGGGCAAGGAGGAGTGATGAGGGCATGGAGGAGTGATGAGGGCAAGGAGGAGTGATGAGGGCAAGGAGGAGTGATGAGGGCAAGGAGGAGTGATGAGGGCAAGGAGGAGTGATGAAGGCAAGGAGGAGTGATGAGGGCAAGGAGGAGTGATGAGGGCAAGGTGGATTGATGAGGGCAAGGAGGAGTGATGAGGGCATGGAGGAGTGATGAGGGCAAGGAGGAGTGATGAGGGCATGGAGGAGTGATGAGGGCAAGGAGGAGTGATGAGGGCAAGGAGGAGTGATGAGGGCAAGGAGGAGTGATGAGGGCAAGGAGGAGTGATGAAGGCAAGGAGGAGTGATGAGGGCAAGGAGGAGTGATGAGGGCAAGGAGGATTGATGAGGGCAAGGAGGAGTGATGAGGGCATGGAGGAGTGATGAGGGCAAGGAGGAGTGATGAGGGCAAGGAGGAGTGATGAAGGCAAGGAGGAGTGATGAGGGCAAGGAGGAGTGATGAGGGCAAGGAGGAGTGATGAGGGCAAGGAGGAGTGATGAGGGCAAGGAGGAGTGATGAGGGCAAGGAGGAGTGATGAGGGCAAGGAGGAGTGATGAGGGCAAGGAGGAGTGATGAGGGCAAGGAGGAGTGATGAGGGCAAGGAGGAGTGATGAAGGCAAGGAGGAGTGATGAGGGCAAGGAGGAGTGATGAGGGCAAGGAGGAGTGATGAGGGCAAGGAGGAGTGATGAGGGCAAGGAGGAGTGATGAGGGCAAGGAGGAGTGATGAGGGCAAGGAGGAGTGATGAGGGCAAGGAGGAGTGATGAGGGCAAGGAGGAGTGATGAAGGCAAGGAGGAGTGATGAGGGCAAGGAGGAGTGATGAGGGCAAGGAGGAGTGATGAGGGCAAGGAGGAGTGATGAGGGCAAGGAGGAGTGATGAGGGCAAGGAGGAGTGATGAAGGCAAGGAGGAGTGATGAGGGCAAGGAGGAGTGATGAGGGCAAGGAGGAGTGATGAGGGCAAGGAGGAGTGATGAGGGCAAGGAGGAGTGATGAGGGCAAGGAGGAGTGATGAGGGCAAGGAGGAGTGATGAGGGCAAGGAGGAGTGATGAGGGCAAGGAGGAGTGATGAGGGCAAGGAGGAGTGATGAGGGCAAGGAGGAGTGATGAAGGCAAGGAGGAGTGATGAGGGCAAGGAGGAGTGATGAGGGCAAGGAGGATTGATGAGGGCAAGGAGGAGTGATGAGGGCAAGGAGGAGTGATGAGGGCAAGGAGGAGTGATGAGGGCAAGGAGGAGTGATGAGGGCAAGGAGGAGTGATGAGGGCAAGGAGGAGTGATGAGGGCAAGGAGGAGTGATGAGGGCAAGGAGGAGTGATGAGGGCAAGGAGGAGTGATGAGGGCATGGAGGAGTGATGAGGGCAAGGAGGAGTGATGAGGGCAAGGAGGAGTGATGAGGGCAAGGAGGAGTGATGAGGGCAAGGAGGAGTGATGAAGGCAAGGAGGAGTGATGAGGGCAAGGAGGAGTGATGAGGGCAAGGAGGATTGATGAGGGCAAGGAGGAGTGATGAGGGCATGGAGGAGTGATGAGGGCAAGGAGGAGTGATGAGGGCAAGGAGGAGTGATGAGGGCAAGGAGGAGTGATGAGGGCAAGGAGGAGTGATGAAGGCAAGGAGGAGTGATGAGGGCAAGGAGGAGTGATGAGGGCAAGGAGGATTGATGAGGGCAAGGAGGAGTGATGAGGGCATGGAGGAGTGATGAGGGCAAGGAGGAGTGATGAGGGCAAGGAGGAGTGATGAGGGCAAGGAGGAGTGATGAGGGCAAGGAGGAGTGATGAGGGCAAGGAGGAGTGATGAGGGCAAGGAGGAGTGATGAGGGCAAGGAGGAGTGATGAGGGCAAGGAGGAGTGATGAGGGCAAGGAGGAGTGATGAGGGCAAGGAGGAGTGATGAGGGCAAGGAGGAGTGATGAGGGCATGGAGGAGTGATGAGGGCAAGGAGGAGTGATGAGGGCAAGGAGGAGTGATGAGGGCAAGGAGGAGTGATGAGGGCAAGGAGGAGTGATGAAGGCAAGGAGGAGTGATGAGGGCAAGGAGGAGTGATGAGGGCAAGGTGGATTGATGAGGGCAAGGAGGAGTGATGAGGGCATGGAGGAGTGATGAGGGCAAGGAGGAGTGATGAGGGCATGGAGGAGTGATGAGGGCAAGGAGGAGTGATGAGGGCAAGGAGGAGTGATGAGGGCAAGGAGGAGTGATGAGGGCAAGGAGGAGTGATGAAGGCAAGGAGGAGTGATGAGGGCAAGGAGGAGTGATGAGGGCAAGGAGGATTGATGAGGGCAAGGAGGAGTGATGAGGGCATGGAGGAGTGATGAGGGCAAGGAGGAGTGATGAGGGCAAGGAGGAGTGATGAAGGCAAGGAGGAGTGATGAGGGCAAGGAGGAGTGATGAGGGCAAGGAGGAGTGATGAGGGCAAGGAGGAGTGATGAGGGCAAGGAGGAGTGATGAGGGCAAGGAGGAGTGATGAGGGCAAGGAGGAGTGATGAGGGCAAGGAGGAGTGATGAGGGCAAGGAGGAGTGATGAGGGCAAGGAGGAGTGATGAAGGCAAGGAGGAGTGATGAGGGCAAGGAGGAGTGATGAGGGCAAGGAGGAGTGATGAGGGCAAGGAGGAGTGATGAGGGCAAGGAGGAGTGATGAGGGCAAGGAGGAGTGATGAGGGCAAGGAGGAGTGATGAGGGCAAGGAGGAGTGATGAAGGCAAGGAGGAGTGATGAGGGCAAGGAGGAGTGATGAGGGCAAGGAGGAGTGATGAGGGCAAGGAGGAGTGATGAGGGCAAGGAGGAGTGATGAGGGCAAGGAGGAGTGATGAGGGCAAGGAGGAGTGATGAGGGCAAGGAGGAGTGATGAGGGCAAGGAGGAGTGATGAGGGCAAGGAGGAGTGATGAGGGCAAGGAGGAGTGATGAGGGCAAGGAGGAGTGATGAGGGCAAGGAGGAGTGATGAGGGCAAGGAGGAGTGATGAGGGCAAGGAGGAGTGATGAGGGCAAGGAGGAGTGATGAGGGCAAGGAGGAGTGATGAGGGCAAGGAGGAGTGATGAGGGCAAGGAGGAGTGATGAGGGCAAGGAGGAGTGATGAGGGCAAGGAGGAGTGATGAGGGCAAGGAGGAGTGATGAGGGCAAGGAGGAGTGATGAGGGCAAGGAGGAGTGATGAGGGCAAGGAGGAGTGATGAGGGCAAGGAGGAGTGATGAGGGCAAGGAGGAGTGATGAGGGCAAGGAGGAGTGATGAGGGCAAGGAGGAGTGATGAGGGCAAGGAGGAGTGATGAGGGCAAGGAGGAGTGATGAGGGCAAGGAGGAGTGATGAGGGCAAGGAGGAGTGATGAGGGCAAGGAGGAGTGATGAGGGCAAGGAGGAGTGATGAGGGCAAGGAGGAGTGATGAGGGCAAGGAGGAGTGATGAGGGCAAGGAGGAGTGATGAGGGCAAGGAGGAGTGATGAAGGCAAGGAGGAGTGATGAGGGCAAGGAGGAGTGATGAGGGCAAGGAGGATTGATGAGGGCAAGGAGGAGTGATGAGGGCAAGGAGGAGTGATGAGGGCAAGGAGGAGTGATGAGGGCAAGGAGGAGTGATGAGGGCAAGGAGGAGTGATGAGGGCAAGGAGGAGTGATGAGGGCAAGGAGGAGTGATGAGGGCAAGGAGGAGTGATGAGGGCAAGGAGGAGTGATGAGGGCATGGAGGAGTGATGAGGGCAAGGAGGAGTGATGAGGGCAAGGAGGAGTGATGAGGGCAAGGAGGAGTGATGAGGGCAAGGAGGAGTGATGAAGGCAAGGAGGAGTGATGAGGGCAAGGAGGAGTGATGAGGGCAAGGAGGATTGATGAGGGCAAGGAGGAGTGATGAGGGCATGGAGGAGTGATGAGGGCAAGGAGGAGTGATGAGGGCAAGGAGGAGTGATGAGGGCAAGGAGGAGTGATGAGGGCAAGGAGGAGTGATGAAGGCAAGGAGGAGTGATGAGGGCAAGGAGGAGTGATGAGGGCAAGGAGGATTGATGAGGGCAAGGAGGAGTGATGAGGGCATGGAGGAGTGATGAGGGCAAGGAGGAGTGATGAGGGCAAGGAGGAGTGATGAGGGCAAGGAGGAGTGATGAAGGCAAGGAGGAGTGATGAGGGCAAGGAGGAGTGATGAGGGCAAGGAGGATTGAAGCGAGTTGTACAAAGCAAGGAAGGGTACTGTGGGCGGCAAGGGATGGCGAGTGCTGCACCCCGGGCGCTGGTGCGAGGTAGTGTGTGTGAGCAGGTGTGCGCTGGTGCTCAGCGCACATGCAGTGTGGTATGGTGGAGAATGGGAGGGCGAGTAGGAGGAGGGCGAAGAGGAGTTGTACAAGGAGGGGTACTGCCAGCGACAAGGGATGGTGAGTGCGACAAAGAGTGAACATGCCATGAGCAGTGTGGCTTGGTTGGTGGGGAGCGATGAGGGCGAGGAGGAGTGCAGCGAGCTCTACGAGGGGTACTGCCAGAAACAAGGGATGGTGAGTGCTGCACCTGGACTGGGATGGGTTCACAATGCATGGAATAATTGGGAATGATGAGGGTGAGGAGGATTGCAGTGGTGATATTAAGGAGGCGTGCTGTCAGCTAGCGGCAAGGGATGTTGATAGAACACGCGGTACCTTCCTCCCTCCCTTTCGCCCTTCCCTTCCCTTGCCATATAGAGTGCCCCTCGACCCAGCCTACTGCTTCTCTGAGACAGATCTCTGTGGTGGGAGGAGCACTGCTTGGGAGGCCCTGCACCTTACTCACTCCTCTTTTTCCCCCTCGCCTGTTGCCTGTCTCCACATGCCATTCCCTTTTCTTCCCAGATAGAGTGTCCTCTCGATCCAACCTACTGCGTATCCGGAACCAATCTCTGTGACGGGGAATCGCTCGCCTGGGAGGCTGGGACAAGGCCAACTGCCTTCCCCACCCGTACCCCACCGTGCCCCTCTTTCTCTCTCATGCTCCCCTCCGTTCCACCTTTTCCTACCAGATAAAGTGTCCTCTCGACCCCACCTACTGCATATCCGAGACCGATATCTGTGACGGGGAGGAGCATTGCCTGGGAGGATGGGACGAGGCCAACTGCATGCCCCACCCGTGTCCCCTCGGCTGGCTCAAATGCCCCAAGACTGGTTACTGCACCCCTTCTGGTAACCTGTGTGATGGGGTTACAGACTGCTTCGCCAACCCCGAGCCTGAGGACGAGGACCCAGACCTGTGCCGAGCCTATGCGTGTCCGGAGGGTTGGAGGAAGTGTGCGGATGGGGAGCAGTGCATGCAGCAGGGGCGGTGGTGCGACGGAGTGGTGGACTGTGCTGGTGAGTTCTGTGGGTTAGTGGGTCACTGGGATGGTTGGGGTGCCGGCTTGCTGGCGGGATTGCTGGGCTGCACAACATGGGGAGCAGTGCGTGCAGCAGGGGCGGTGGTGCGATGGGTTGGTGGACTGTGCTGGTGAGTGAGGTGGTTTGGTGCGTTGCTGGCTTTTTCTAAGATGCTGGCTTTCTAGGTTTCTGGGTTGCTGGGTTTCTGGGTTGCTGGGCTAGACAGGTGAAATGACTCACACTGCGTGCCGGAGGGGTAGGTGTGCGACGGAGTGGTGGACTGTGCTGGTGAGTGTTGTGGCGGTTAGTGCGTTGCTGGGATGCTGGGCTTCCGGGTGGTTCCCAGGTTGGCAGGTTGCTGGGAGAACGTGCAGTGTGTGCAGCAGGGATGGTTGTGTGACGGGCTGGCGGACTGTGAGGGTGAGTGCCCTGGGTTAGTGCGTTGCTGGGTTGCTGGGTTGCTGGGTTGCTGGGTTGCTGGGTTGCGTTGATGAAAGCTCGGGTCAAGGCTGGCGTGCAATGTGTGCTTGATGGCGGTGGTGCGATGGGTAGTTTGTCTGTGGTGGAGTGTGGCATGGGTCAGTGGTTTTCTGGGATGCCTTTAAGAATCCTCAAAAGCGACTCAAAGTGGGATACTTTAATAAATTTCTTTAAAGCGACTCAAGTGTAGCCGTTTTGGAGAATTGTCAATAGCGACGGGTGGTTTGACTGTGGTAGAGTGTGCCATGGGTCAGTGGGTTTCTGGGATACTAGGCTGTGGTTTCCGGGGTGAATAATTTTGTAAAGGTGGTGGTGGTGTAGTTGGTTGGTTTTTTATCAACTGCAATGGGCACGAACTGTTCTTGTTTCGAGCGTGCCTATACTTAGACCTAAACACATCACACGGCCACTTACACAATGATTCATGTTCTCATTCTCGCGTGATGAGTTGGTAAACCAGGTCCTTCCTCCCTCCCTCGCTTCCAACCAACTTCCCCATGTATGGCCCCATCACACTGCCCTCCCTGCCACACAGATGGGAGTGACGAAGGGGCTGTGTGCTCGCTTCCTGATACCAAATCTGCCACCAAAGCAAACAAAGGCACTGGATCGTCACGAAGAAGCAGCAACGTCGGTGGAAGCAGCAGCAGCAGCAGCAGTGGTGGAACTGCAGTTGTAACAATTGCTTCAACAAGTTTCATGGAGGCCAGTACAGAAAAGTTAGCTGCCAAGGCTCAGCTAGTTGCAGAGGCAAAAGCAGAGCGGGCTTTGAAGAAAGCTGCTAAGGAAGCAAGGAGGAGGAAGAAGGAAGAGGTGGCAGCGGCTAAGGCAGCCAGGAATCTTCGTAAGGCCAGAAAAGAAGCTGCTATTAAAGAAAGGGAGGAGAGACTGGCAGCAAAGAAGGCTAGGTTGGAGGCTAAGGCCAGGAGACAAGCTGCCAAAGATGCAAGAAGAAAGAAAGCTGCAAAGAAAGCAGCAATTGAGAGGAGAAAGGCGAAGAAACAAGTGATAAATGTTAGACTGCGAAAACAGAAAGGTCGTCAAAAAAAGGGTTGAGATAAAAGGGGGACCTTCGAATGCATTGACCTGGCTCAATATATTATTCATTAGATGGCTTCAATAACAAATGATGTAAAACTCAATGAAGAGGAAACTGTATTTACGATAGTACACTCGACTCGCTAAAACTTCTGACACATTTTTCATGTGTCAGTCTCAAATCCTCGTGTCCATTTCAGCGTGTCAGATCTTCGCCGCCGATAATGCCCTCGATCGGACGGATCAGCGCCGCCGCTCTGCTGCAAGAGGCGGCGCTTCGAGATTCCCGCGGGAGGCAGCTCCGCGCCTTCCCCAGCTGGTTCCCCTTACCAAACCCACTCCAATCAAAGACACCCTATCACCACTCAATACCAAACAGGAACTAACGTTACCGTAAAAAACCCTCGAACCGTCTTGAAGGTAGTTATTTTGTTTGTCTTCCCAACCCAGGCGAGGGGACCTAGATTTCTGTGCCAGTGAGAGCTACGCGGATCCGCTTGCAGTTCATTGGGCTTAGCAACTAGTAGTTTATTGAGCAAAACTAGTAAGTTGTGGTAGCTATTAAGAAGAGTTGATTCGCAGCCAGTAGGAGAACCTAGAGAGTTGCTCCTGAGCTTTCTCGCCCACTAGCAAAAATTGCGGGTCGTAAGAGCTCGTAGCATGTTTCGGTAACCTCATTGGTGACATTCTCGAGTTTGTCATTCCTGCATCTGCTCCTGTCTTGAAATTGGATTATTACATCCACTCGTCATGCTCTCGCAAATCTCCCCTAACGCGCAGCCTCCTAGTCGGACCTCACCAGGGTCTAGGACGCCTCTTTCGATAGACAGTCCGTCTAAATCGTACTTTTACGAAGCAGAGGAGCCTGCTGTAGCTCGTAACGCAGGTTCGCAAAGTGGACCGCAGCAGCAGCAGATCCGTGGTTACCAGTACAACGGCGATCGCGAGTACTATAGTAATACTACTAGCTCCGGTGGTCGACGCGGCACGGAGTTTTTCAACGACAGAACTCAACGGTCACCTCGTTCAGGGAATGCGATGGAGATGAACGACAGAAGTCAAAGGTCGCCTCGTACGGAGAACGGGACGATGTTTCTGTTGTAGAGGACTCTCCTCTACTTTGCAGGAACTGGGAGTTGTTCTAAACGATAGAGCTCTGTCTTAGCTTTCCAACGAGCCGTCAAACACGTCGATCGCCTAAGTATTCTCCGAGATATAGACGTTCACGTGCTAGGTGGTGCTCTTGAATGCAAGTAAAGAAGCTCTCTGGAATTTGTGTTCGAATGTACCTTGTACAAAGAACTCTGAGTTTCACTATGATGGCATGCAATACAAAGAAAACAGATTTTTAGCATGCAAACAAGATCGAATCGCACAAGTAACCTCGAACCGCTACACTCGCGAATGTTCGAGTAACATCGAAAGGGTGAAATTCGACTCTCGAATTTCACCGATCCGAATTCTCCTTGGGTCTCGAATGTTCCTGGTGCTGCCATGTGGCACCGAATCGAATGGGTCTTCCGAAGTCAATCCTCAACCCCACGCAAACCTGCAACTCACTCGAAGGTGAGCACAAGTCACACATTCGGTGGGTTGGGGGCATACAAACGCCCCACCACCACCTTGCTTCCAACACACGTAATCTCCAACAGTTTCACGACAGGGCGAATGCGGCGATCAAGACAGCTGAGGAGTCGGAGGAGGCGAGGAAATGGCGCGCAGTGCTTCGAGTGATGGCCGCTGATTATAAAAAGCTTGGGCGATGCCATGGATTGTGAGTGGGCCCAGCCCTCTTCTCGCCGTGTATCATGCATGATGTTGTCACTGGCATTTTGAAACATTTTGGGAACCATTCGGAATTGGGAGGAGGCGAAGACATAGGCGGTACCAACTTTGCACTTGCTGAGATTCTTGTAGATTGCATCCGGCTACAGATAGCACACCGAGAGTCTTCGATTCGGTGGACAGTGATAAACGTGGGGTTGACTTTTGAATCGACTCAAAATTCATACGGTGGACGGTGATAAACGTGGGGTTTCCCAGGATCCCACGAGGAGTGTGTCGCTGAGTGCCGCATTCCGAGTCCCACGTTCCGACACATTCCCTTCTATACTGTGGCGCATTTCCAACGTGACGCATTCCCCGCTATGATGTGATTCATTGTCCGCTGTGGTGCGATGCAGGCTCCAGCAGGATTACGAGCGGCGGCGCGTGGAGATGGAGCAGCTGCAGCAGCAGCTCAAGGAGCTCGCTGCGCACAACGAGGTGAGTGCTTATCGCGCGACGAGTTGAGTTCTTAGTGCACAGCGAGCCGTATGTTTATCGAACAACAGATGATGAGTGCTTTCCGCTCACCCGCTCTCACTGGTACCTCCCCGCTTGCGCTACCCCCTTCTCCACCAGTCCCTCCGCGGGGAAATCTCATCCAATGACGCGCGGGCTCGCGAGACGGAGGCGCAGCTATGCGCGCAGATGCAGGCGGAGCGGTCAGAGTTGGAACGGGGCGCCGCCGTCGCTTCCGCGCGCGCGGCCTCCGACCTCCGCGCGGCTCTCTCCGCGCGAGACGAGGCGTTTTCCCGCGAGCGAGCGGGGCTCGCGCAGCAGCTGGCGGACCTGCGGCGGGAGCTTCAGGCGGAGCGGGAGAAAGAGCACCCGTGCTTCACATGCGCGGAGCGCGCCTGGCGGGACGAGGAGGAGGCGGAGGAGGAAGCGGAGAGGCGGAGGCGCAGCGAGGCGGAAGTTGCGCGCTGGCAGCAGGCGGCGGGGCTTGCGGCGGCGGGACTCGTTATAGAAAGCGCCGCGAAGGAGTTCCTCTTAGACCGAGTAGACGATCTGGAGCGATCCGAAGTCGAGATGGAGCAAGAGCGGCTCGAGAGCGAGAGGGCGGAGCGCGAGGAAGGGAGGCGGGTAGGGGAAGCGCGCGCCCGCGCGGAAGCGGAGAGCCAGCGGGAGCGGATCCTGGCGGAATGGGCGGTGGAGCGGGAAGCGTGGGAGCGGTGTACGGCGGAAAAGGACCAGGAAGTTGCGCTATTGGTGGCGGAGAAGGCGGAGGTAGAGATTAGGTTACGCGGCGCGGAGGCGGAGGTAGAGAGACTTAAAGCGGAGGCGGCGGCGCAGCAGCGCGTCGTGGAGAACCTCACGCGCGACTGCCACATGCTCGCGCGCAAGTCGGAGGATCTTTCCGCGCGCGCGGCGGCGGCGCAGAGGCGTGCGGACTTGGCGGAAGAGGCGGCGGAGGTGGCGGAGGCGCAGGCGGAGGACGAGCGCGACCTGGCGGCGTCGCTGCAGCGGGAGCTGCAGATGCTGAAGGCGAAGTTTCTCCACCAGGAGGCGGAGAAGGAGAAACTGTGAGTAGCGGTTGAGAAGTATGGAATGGGTTGCAAGTATGTTTGGAACAGTTGGGCGGGAGAGGGATGGCTGCAGATGCTGAAGGCGAAGCTCCTCCACCAGGAGGCGGTTTAGGAGAAACTGTGAGTTGA